GCACCGTGGTGTTACCCGAGCCGCTTGTGCGAGCTTATTGTTGCCGTAAAAGCCGAGTGAAGTTTGGATTTGCCGGTGCCCACTGAGCCAGATTTGTGAAGCATAAATGAGAAAACCTGCCCTGGCCTCCCTTTCCCATAAAAAGCTGCTCAGGTGGCTTAGTGTGGCAGGCTAATGGGGGAAGGCGGAGGCGGCTGCTGCACCTGCTAATGCTTTGGCTCAGGCTGGTGGCACAGAGGCTGCCGCGAATTCCCCCTGAGCAGCCAGCTGTTCGTGGCAGGTGCCTCGCTCCGAGGAGTGCTCCTGCTATGACAACAAAGAGCTCTTTGATCCTTTCCATTTGGAGAACTTAAAACGAAAAAGCCAAACTACAATAAGACCAAGTTGGGTCATAAAAAGGAGAGCAGGAGCACCAAAGCGCTCCGGAGTGTAATTGTAGAAGCAGCAAATGCTTTGGCACTTAATTCTGCTTTAGTGTCAGTTCGGCGTGTTTCACGTTTAAAACTGGAGAGCCTGTTGCCAAATGCTCCGCACAAACAATCCGGGGCTGCTCCTCGGGGAGCTCAGGGTGCTCAGAGAACCCCTGGGCCCAGTGTGGCTCCTTCAGCCCTGCTGCCCTCGGCCTCGCTCGGGATGGAGTTGGCTGGTGGTGTAGAAACAGTCAGGACACACTTCACTGGAGGGGGAGCCTTGGGTGGCCTCTGCCCCTCTAACCCTACTCGGTCAGGCTGGGACAGCCCAGCTCTGCTGCCTTGGCACTGAGTGGCAGCTGAGTGCCCCCAGCTCTGCTCCTCAGCTCCTGCTCCACTGGAGTCAGCATGTCACGCTGCTTGGGCTTGTGCTTCCCCTTCCCTCTGTGCAGACCTGGGCGATGCCCCTGAGGTTTCCATGGAAGGAGGCATTTAAATCAGGCATTTTATAAGGCATTTGTCAGAAATTTGGCTAACAGCTACCACATCTTCCCACGGATGTTAGGGATGTGTTTAAACAAAAAAGGTTCCAAATTACTTCTCTGTGAAGAATGGAGCTGCAAGGTGTCACTTCTGTGGCAGCACGGCCTCGTGGCACAGCCAGGCACAGCCCCAGGGGCAACATCAGCAGTTTGGGAGTGGCCACAGGTACGAGGTAGTGCTGACTTGCCTAGAGCCCGTTCCCTTTGCAGGAGCAGGGTGGTGCCTCTGCTGCTGCTCTCACCCTGCTCTGAGCAAGGAGTGTGGCTGGAGCTGCTGCCAGTGGGGTGGTGGTGGGCAAAATGCAGGAGCAGCCTGTGCAGCTCTGAGGCTTTCAAGAACTTCTTTATTGTAAAGAATCTGTTCCAAACATAAACCTCCATGTTTTGAAGGGCGAGTGCTCTGCAAGGTGCATCCTTGCCAGCGCAGTGTGTATGAAATGTGGCTTGGCAGCAGCTCCTGGCTGATGTCGGGGAAGGAGGGTGCAGCCCTGGATGGTTTGCTCTGTGAACTGCTGGGGAAGGGTGAGCAGGCAGCTGGAACAGGGAGTGATGCTTGGCCAAAGCTGTTTCCCTTCCAGCCTCCTCTGTTTGAAGGAGCAAGGGGATGGCTGACAGACCCAAGGAATGATTTGCTATTGCTTAAATAGGGACATGATTAGTTTTTAAGTGATGGACACCTGACACTTAAAAATCATTGAAAACCCTTATAAATTGATTTTTCTCCTAATAGATTGCTCTGGGTCCAGCTCTTCATGGTGTAGGTAACATATGCAAGTGATTTATTCCAGTGGGGATTATAACAGATGCTGTAAAATTATCCTGTAAGTATTTAAAAATCATTTGTCTGTCTCTGACGTGTCTTAGCACATACAGGAATGCTCTGTTTGGGGAAGCGAGGTCCTTATCCTGATTTATCTCAAGGTACTTGTAAATGTTACTGCAATTTCATGTTATCAAATCATTTAGCTCTTCCTCTTCCAGAACGAAGTTATTTTATCTCATGCACCTTGTTTACTTCAAATTAGCCCTGAGGTTGGCCTGAAGTTGCACCTTGTTATTCCTCCACCTCCTGTCTCCGTCTTAGGCTCTGTCGGCAAATTTGAAGGTATAAGTGAATACTTTTTTGTTATTAATAGAATAAGTTCCCCCTCCTACACACACGTTTTCTTTTCATTCCAGTCTTCATTTTCCATGAGAAACTGACAATTCAGTACAAGTGGAAACCTCCCAAATTGCATGAAAAAGCCTTAATTCTCCTAGCAACAAGGTCAGGGCTCAAATCCAGGCCCTTTCCACGAGTGTGGGGGAAACAGCCCTCCCAATTACCTGCTCCCCCTGCGATACAGATCCGGTTGGTTCACCAGCACCTGGGTTTGGGTGGATTTGAATCTCAGCCATGGTATTGTTTAAAAATTCTCCACTCATTGAGGAAGGGTTTGTAGTGGGCTGAGCCCTGAGAAACCTAGGGCTAGTTTTATGGCTTCCCATTGAAACCTGGTGGAACCCCATGGTGTTGACTGATTTCCCCTTTCCCACTCATGTGGCTTTGATCAAACTCACCCCTTGGAGAATGACCCCCCCAGGAACTGGAACCACTGAGCTTTGCCCAGTTCTGCGTTCATTAAAGCGTTTATGAGCTTCCAGTTGTGGATGATAAAATGAGGACCTTTGTGCCTATCTGGGGTGGAGACTACTGGTCCTATGGCAGAGCCCTTGTACAGGCCCTGGATTAGCATATTTGGGGTGAAAGTTGTCAGAATTTCCTTTGCCCTCTTAATGAGACCTACCCTGGTAACTAACCCTTTAGGCAGGGTGGTGTGTTACCGACTTTAGGGCAAACATCACATATTGTTGCACGAATGGAGTTGAAGCTCTGCTAAAGGCATTAAGCCACAGAGGAGTGGCTGGTGCTGCGGGCTGGCGATGGCCAGCCATCCTCTGTTTTTACCTCTGTTGCTGCCTGTGTGCCTCCAGCCTGGGTCATCATGCCCAACGGTTCCCATCTCGCAGCTCTGTTTGCAGCTCATATGTGGTTGGTTGAGGAACAGGTGTGTGGGGAAGCCTGAGCAGCTTGGCCTGGAAGGTGTCCCTTGCCTTTCCCACAAACTGCACCAAACTCTGCTGTGATTGTGCAGGATGTTTTAGGCAGGTCTCTACAGAAGAGCAGGCTGCCCTGGCCTTGGGAAAGGGATGGTAAGCACGCAGGGCTCAGCTCCTCACCCCAGCCATGGTGCCCTGAGCAGAGCCGCTGCAGCTTTGGGACTAGCCATTGCTCAGGGACTGTGCTGATCAGGCTGCTGTGGCTTTCCTGTCCCCCCAGGATGGGACAGCTGAAGTGGCTAAGGACTGCGGGGGTCTGATACTGTTTCGATGGGGGGAGGGGAAGAGTTTAGTAGTAGCACATGTAGGCCTGCAGTACTGGAAAAGTCACTTCAGTGGGGAGCTGAATTGGGCTAATATTGTGAAGGAAATCCTTCCTGTGGCTTTGTTGAGCATTAGATGAAGTCCTGTATGATGCTCCATATCACGCTCGCATCTACTCCCCATTATCTTTTGATGAATAAACCAAAGTGCTGCTGCACGTGACAACACGTGACATTCTTCTAGATGCAGCATCGATAACTCAGCAGTTAAAGGGCAAAATGTGTTCTGACAGAAGGTTGTGTGAGAATAATTTCCTCTGTGCTGAAGGACTTGATGCTGCTGTGGTGTGAGGCTGTAACTCCCTCCAGTGCTGTGTGTGCTGTGTGAGAGTCCTGAATATAGAGATTCATATTCTACTGTGTTCAAAAGGCCAGTTCTGGATCTCTCAGTTTTGATCTCCAAGCTGAGCTGAGTCCAGTTTGCCAAAATCTTGAAACATGGGGAAGGGAGTCCCAGGAGGGCAGGCATTCAGCTGTGGGGTAGTTGGGGAGCAACACTCATGCTCAGAAACCTCCAGCTCAGTGCTAAGCCTGCCTCCCTCTGCGAGGAGGAAAGTGCTTTAGGGATGTGGCTTCCTAAACCAGCTCCTGGAGCTCTGGGTGGTTGCTTTCAGTCTGAGATTGAAAGGCTGGGAAAGAGGAAGGGCCATGTTCCCTCTGCCACCACAAATGAAACCCTCTTCCAAACAAAAACCTGTCCGAGGAGAGAAGAGGTGTAAAATCTGGCACTGGCATGTTACCCTGCCCAGCAGTGGAGCTGGGGTGGGTCTGGTGGCTGAAAACACTGTGGCCATGTAGCTCTCCAGCCACAGGGTGTTCGTGGGATGCTGTCCCATCTGGGGACTGTTCCCATGTGGGAACAGGCCCTTCCTGTGCTTGTGTCTCACAGGTCTGCAGGTCAGAGCCAAGCCTGAGGTGTGCGTCGTGTCTCTGACTCTGAGGCTCTCCGGGGTCCCAGGGCCTGGAGTGGGGCTGGGGACCTCAGTGCCCCTGACACCCCTCTGTCTCACCCCTGAAGCTCCATGTGGGGCCCATCTACCAGGTGCTGTGCCAGGATGCAGTAGGGGAGAGTTTTCAAAGTGCTATGAAGGCTTAACTAAGGTTTATAATGATTTCAGTGGGATTTGGGTGGTTATGGATGCAAGCCCATAAGGTATTTCAGAAAGCATATCAGAAGTGAGCAGTGGAAGGGGAAATGCTATTTGGCCCATAGGAGATTCTGGGTGTTTGGATTTTTCTGATTAACTATGATGTTTCCCTGGCATGAGTTCAATTCATCCTCTT